ACTTGGGCGAGGAAACTGCTCTCATGTCCGTTCTATTAGTCCTGAGGGGCAGTAAAGCTACCTGTACTTACCCCCACTGCATTATTGATGGATGTAATGGTGCCATTACAAGGATAGTTACAAGGATAGGAAGCTGCTGATGTTTTAACACAGGGCTAATGAGGAAGCGTTAAGGAATTAAAGTCCACTGGGCCAACTTTGGCATTTTAAAGGGAGAGGAGCAGGAAGCAGAGTGGAGTGTTTTCACAGAGAATGAGGGTTACTAAAAGAATGGTGGTCCAAGCGCTAACACAGCTCAGCTATTTTCTAGGCCTTTATAAAAAAGATAGACAGCTAATTAATGTTCTAAGATATGGCAGTTTGGTGTGATAGTACTGGTCTGAGCCGAGCCACTGTGGTTTATATCCTGCTGACCGAGGCGTTTGAGTCCAGCCAAGTCGTCAACTTAGCCGTCTGTATTTTTTGAATGTGCAGACATGGGGTGTAAATCTTATAGACGTAAATCTTAAAAACAGCAGACGGCTACCTTTTAGCAAAGTGGTTGTGTGTGACAAAAAGCCGAGCTGGCTTCCTGTTCTGATCTGCATACCGGCTGCATTTGTAGCAGGCAGCACTGCTGTGGAAACAAGACAGGTTGTGAGGGTCAGGATTTTATCCAAGCAACATTTACAATCTGTCTTACTAATTAGAAAAACACACACACACATGCAAGAAAAGACACTCTGCTCTCCCATGAACACACCATACTGTGTTGATCCAGCACCAAAGTGCATTATGTTTTTTTTTTTCATGGCTTTTATTTAAAATAAATCAGAACACACCTGCTGAAGTTTGTAAATCGTATTTTTGCTTTGGCTTGATTTCTTTTTTTTAATTATAAGATGAAATTAATTTACTTCCTATCTGATAAGCCTTTGTACTTTCCTCAGCAGCTTTGTTAAACAAGTTTTCAAATGAAGTGTAATTAAATAAAATAAAAGGGTGCAAATGAAGTCACATTTGTAATTATTAACTCTGCAGTGAAAGTGAAATTTAGACAATTTTGCAACATGTCTGCAAGTACAGATGTGTTGAAACACCCATTTAAAAAAAACTCTAATTGGATTTGTGGGTAAGTGTCTTTGTTATCGACTCTGTGTTGGAGAACAAAGGATTTCAGCAACGTGCACGAATACACGTGCATTCTCAAGTAAGCGTTGTCTGATGTGCCTTCTACTCTGTTAACTGTACAGAACTTACACCTACCTGTTGGTAATTTTCACTACTTTTTCTTGCAGGTATTTTCTGCAAATAATGGAAACATTAAGAATGAATGAACATTTTTACTATTTTAAAAAGGCTTACATTTCATATCCATATTTTCTGTATATTTTAGCGTTACTTACTATTTCTTTTTAGGTCAAGCTTGTTATATACATTTGAAATAACAAATACGTATTAGTAGGAATTGGGTTTATGGTAAAGAAACAAAAACAAAACAAAACTATGGACAAGGATGTGAATGGGAATGAAGTGGAGTAGAGGAGTTGCCATTTTCACAAAGTTCACTTAGTGCAGCTTATATATGATAATTATTGCTCGCTCTACTACAGATACAAATGTTAGTTTGTTCTCAAGGAAACTTGACCCATGTGTACCATTGTCCGTTTTTTATAACCAAGATAGATTTGAAAAATCTATATAATTGTAATTGTCCTTCTACTAACTAGTAGGTACTCTTTCACTTAACATACATATATTACCTTTTTGTTAAAGATCACATGCAGGTGAAATCCAGTGAGCAGTGAGATTTCATCAGTATATCATATATATATATATATATTATATATATCATAATGTGTTTTCACCTATAGAGAGCAGTGCAGAAGCACTTGTCTACTGTCTGGGATTTAATGTGAACACAATGAGATCTGACTTTGGAGCCATGAAGAGTTAAAGTTTGTCACACAGACATTTCACCTGCAGGCGTTTATATGTAATGTGTAAAAATGTTTTAAATGAATAGTATTTATTAACATCAGAAAACTTTACTGTATTTACTGTTAAATGTCAGGAACTTCTTTGATAGACTGAAAAACATTATAAATATATTACAGCCTTTAATTGCAACCATAATCAAGCAGCGCTTTAAAATAATGTATGAGTATGTGAGAGCTTCTTTGATGGTCTGCATTTTCTCAGCTTCAATGCGATCCCGGTGGAAGATATGACTCTTTATAGTACACTGTGTTCTATTACACATGCCCTTCCACCACTCCATGTCATTCTCTGAAAATGCTTTTAATAAAACTAACAAAGCTAAAGGAAAAGAAAAAGGATGCAGACAAATTTCGAGAGGATTAAACACATCGGAGTGGCACAAAGGCGTTCAGTCAGTGCATGCCACACCCAAGGTCCCTCACTCAAGCACAGTATATGGATACCCACTCCTTTTCCTTCAGAGGCCATCTCACTGACACACACAAACACACACACACACACAGCAGCAGGGTCAGTGGCCAGTCTCAGTGAAATACAAGTTTCCCCGTGTATGATGACACCGCTGTATTCTCTGAGATGGCCTGGCCACCGAGGCTGCCGCCTCACAGCCTCTTGACAAGAGAGCACAAGGATGACCAAACAGTCAGCGAGACAAGCAGACTGAATTAGTGCAGATCGGATCAAATAAAACATACAAAACTAATCAGATTTTTTTAAATATAAATGCTTAGTATGGATTAATTTTTTATTGGATTTTATAATAGAAATGCAACGTTTTTAAACCAGCTTGGAGCTCCGCTCTGGTTCCAAACACCTGTCACGACAAAGCAGGGAAACAATAGGAATTAATGAGAAATATTCAAACGTTTTCCAATAAGTGTTTGTGTGATTCACAGAAGAGTGGAGGGGTTTTGCAGTACACCGCTGCATACAGCAACTGCTCCGTGTATTTCAGATATTCAAATTATCTCTCGCTTGTGCTCGCTGGCATGTGAGAGCACAGAGGCTTCATGGCATAAAAGCTGGCCAAATATACAAACTCATAAGCTATCAGTATCAATGCTTTGGGCAATTATTAACACATAAAAGAAGCTTTTAGATACATGGGGGGATGGGGGTGTAAACTGATCGTACTATGATAGAGTATGAAAAAGAAAACAGGATAAGAGAAAAAATATGTTTTTGCGCGTGTGATATCAGCTTAGATAAACGGAACCTGTGGGGGAGGATGAGGCAGGGTGGGCTGGTGCCACATGTACAGTACCTGCCCTATCTTGGCATAGTAATGAGCTACCCAGCTCTGTGTACTCCTCTCTGTGCCATTCAATGCAAATAAGGAGATCCCAAGCCCACGAACACGATCATTTAAACATCTTTGAGATATTTTACTTCACCAGAATTGACACTCAGCTCAGTTTAAACGATGAAAAGACCTTGCGGGGTTTTTTTAAAAAAACTTTTTTGTTTAAAACAGCTTTCTGAATGCATCTCTGCATGTGCAGCTCTGAGCATGTGCAAGGCTGAATTTATCTGTGGATTAATGAATGAAGCACACGGTGTCAGAGCTGCGTTGATACTCTGTCAATATCAACACAAGCTGCAAGCTTGTTTCCAGAGCTTAGACAAAAAACCACTGACCCCGCCTTGTCTCTCCAGTCCTGCCATGTTAACACCTGTTTCTTTTACTCTTGGTGAATAAATAATAAACATTAAGTATTAAGACTTTCAGAGATACTAAACCAAGTAGCAATGTGAATGCTTACATTGTGAATAATGAAAAAAGAAAACTGCTCCAGGTAGAAAACAATCATAATGATCTCACTAGACCAGGTGAGCCTCGTCCACAGGGTCCCCACCCACTCAACTTCATCATAAGCACATGCACAGTCTCCATGACAACCACTTACCATGACGCCTCCCCCCCCCATCCCCTTTCACCATGACGACCTCTGCCACCCAGCTGTCCTCCCGAGGCCTGTAACTGAGCTAATATGGCTGCTGCTGCGGAGCGCCCAGCGACACTGAGAGCACCAGCCCTCTCCTCCTCCTTTCCTGTAATTCCTCCACCCCAGGGGGTTAAAGCAACTCAATCCAAGGAGTCATTCAGACAATAAAACCCACTCTACCCTTCAGTTCCACTGGGTTTAGTGACCCATTGCCTGCTAGCATAGGAATCAATTTGATGTCCAGTGCTGCTAACTATCAGCCTAACAACTCCTTAGAACTGGCAAGCCTCTCTCACATGAAAAACTCTACCCATGATTACTCTCCCATCCAGAAAAATTTCTAAATGGCTTCTGTAACCTGGTTTGGGTCTTGCTTATTTTGAAACTGAGCTCAAATGACAGGTTGATTGTGTGCTACAGGAATGTGTAAGTGCACTACAACTACAATCCAAACACACACACACACACACAGCTTTTTAAAGCATCTCTTTGTGTCGGGGGGTTGCATAATGATTCCATGACAGCCTGTCAGACATCATATGAAATTGATTCCATGCAGCCAAAGCTCCCCTCACTCTCTCTACACCATTGTCCCCTGATGACTCCGCTCTTGATCAATCCTATTATGTCATAACATGCTACAGTATCCTAACAAAGACAAAGAAAAGTACAGATCACAAATGGAGGCATCGTTAATGTCCGTTAAACACTGTCACAGTTGATTTTGCGTGCAGAAGTTGGTACCTTTCAGGTCTGTGAGATCTTCCTTCGCTAAACGCGCGATAAAGCTTCTAACCTGCAGGGCTGGCCACATCAGGAGAATGTTCCTACCGACTGGAAAACCGTTTAACCTGACTGGAACAGCATTTAAGACTTTGTTGAAAGATTGTCAAGTGTCCACTAGGTATGAAATGTAGCCTTTAGGCCTTTCCGAAAGGGGAGCATATCCATACACTGAGATGCTGTAGTGTGTAAACGCCTGAGTGAAAGTGTGTGTGTGTGTGTGTGCGTGCGTGCGTGTAGAGCGGTGGATATCGAATGCATGCATGTGCAGCAGAGTAGTGTGTGACTTACCCCTGGCTGTCCCTGAGGGCTGAACATGCTCTGACAATGCTGACGCTTCTCAGCGTCCCACTCCTCCGACAGCTTTCATCTACAGTATGTTCGCTATCACTCAAAACTCCCTCCTCTGCTTCCTGAACACTCTTTTTTGTTTCTATAGTGTTTATCTTCCCGTGCTATATCTTCATACTTCCTGCCTCTTTTTCTACTACGTTCCTCTTCTTTCTTCTCATCTTTCTCTTACTCTCTTACTTTCCATTTAGAAACTCTTTATTCACTTTCTCACTCACTTTCTTCTTTACTCATCTCCTTCTTTTTTCCTCCCGCTCTTCTTCTCCTCCTCTCTGTCGCCCTCATCAGTGCTCCAGGAGCTTGGTATCGCTTGTCTCTCGGCTGGCACAGAGAACAGGCAGACACATGGGAGGGCTGTTTTGTAATCCAGCAGGTCATACCACCCTGGCACAGGAAAAGGGGGGGGGGGCTGATGGGATGCACAGAGGGAGGGGAGGGGTGAGGGAGGACTTAGAAGGCCTATACTACTACCTTCCAACCTATACCTTTTCTGCATCCCTCCGTCTGCGAGCTGATGGTCTCTCCCTTTTTTTTCCCATCGACGCCGAGGTCTCGCCTCACTACATCCTCTCTGCGAGTTTGAGGTTTTAAGAAGGAGATGAAGGAAGGAAAGAAGGAAGGAAAGAAGGATGAGGGAGAATGGGAGTGGAAGGAAGTGTGGGAATGAAAGGAGGGATGAAAAGGAAGAGGAAAAGATACTGATGAATAGAGGAAAGGAATGGGAGAGGGATGCCTCGAAGGGTTGTAGACTGAATCAATGATGCCTCTTCAGGAGATATTTTTTAAGTATAGGAATCAAATGTGTGATAAAACGGGAACAAGGAGAGCAGTCATGATTTGGTGATGCAAGGAACAAACAGATGAGCAGAAAGAGAGCGGTAGAAAGACAGCCAAAGAAAAAGACAGAGGTTAGGACTCAGTGGCTAAGCGACTGTCTGCCTCGCTGTGAGCTGTCATCTCTCCTGCAGTTGGTCAAATTGCTGTCCATTCATCCTCACTTTCACCACAGTCAGTTCAGGAAGATGCTGCTCTTCAGCAGTTACAGTGTGATTGATATGACAGATTTGCCAGATCCTGCTACCATTTTGAGCCTGGACATTATGCCTGCATTTAATGCTACTTATGGAGCAGAATTGGGGAGAAATTTCCTTATCTATTATCTTTAAGTGATGTGTATGAACCCTGCTTCCGGGTCCAAACTACTCTGCATTTATTAAGGCTGTTCAGTTTTTGTCTTATTGTATTTAATCGGAACAAGCCCTTAAAAAAAAGTCAGTGATCATTGGTCAGTGATCTCTCGGTTTTTATTACCAATATTCATCAGCAGCATGTTTTAAAGCTCAGTTTTTAAAACCTTACGCTGTAACTACAGTCCAGAGCATGCAGCAGTATTTTACTGACTAACCTCGTATTGTGGATGCATTATCTCACTTGTTCTCCTGTCTGAAGTTTGGTCCATTTACAGGATCCTGGCGATCGCATTTGTCCCTAACCATCGAGAACCCTCATGTTAATTTTTATCAAGTTAGCGTTCATCCTCCAGCTTCACTGAGCTAATGTGTTTATATAATAGCAGAGCTGTACATTTTAATTTTTACAGAAATCCCTCAGTCAGAATATGTTATATTATCTTAAAATGGAAACTAGCAAGCTAACTCTCTGCGAACTTATTAATCAGTTAAATTTCACAAATTCCCTTTCTCATGGATGCCTGGATGTTAAACTCACCTTGTAGAGCAGCCACATTGATCATTTTATTAAAGATTAGATGAATTTAGACAGTTTGGAACTCTCAGTGACCCTGCAGTGTTTGTTTCACTTTGGGACCTGAAGCGGAGTTTGGACCCAGAAACGGCTAATGACGTCAGACTGATAGGTGGATACATGCCATAGTGTTAACTTGTGGCAAACCACAAAGTGTAACTCAGTCTCAATCCCTATAGAACAGCTGATCTCACCAAAGCCAACATTAGCTAAGCTAATACCCCTTTGCACATCCAATTGTCACACCTTGAATAAATGTATAGAAACATGCTATTAAACTGCTTTGGGCTGTCTACAGTTGCTATGCATCTGCAAGCTGCTTTGCAACCAACCTCCATCCTAGCTGCTCCTTTTCATGCTGCACCTGACTTAACGTCATATGTGGTCTTATTCCAGCAGGTTTAAAAACCAGACACTGTCCATCAAAGTCCAAGATGTGAGCTGTGAAGAGGGTTTCATATATTGTTTAATGATTCACCAAACTCTCACATACCTTTATCCTTCACTGATCAGATTCTGCTTGCGAGACTACTCAGACAGAACTGAATACAGTGATTATAAATAGGCATAAAAATTGGACTACATGACAGTTGACAATTTTATCCATTAGATATAATTTTAATCTCATATATTTGACCATATTTCTAATGACCCAACCTGTTGTCTCAATTATCTCAGTTGTGTAGGCACTCTTTTGAACATAGACCACTTGAACATAGTATTATGTCCTCAGTGTTGCTTTATCCTTAAAATACTGATTCTCACATTGATATGTAACTGCTTGTATTAATTCATGTAAGCATATTTTAATCAGTTGTTAATGACCAAGCTTTGCCTATATGTTACAGTAGGCTGGGTTTAATTGCTGGGGTGAGACATGCTAATGTGTACAGTGTGAATGACTATGTGTGTGTGTTTGGAAGAGGGAAGGTGGTCTGATTGAATGAATACCCACCAAACCATGAAGGAAGGTGACCAGAGTGTGCATGTGCCTGAATAAAAAGTCTTGAGCAGGAGTATTTCTACAGCTGGCTTGACATCTGTGCCCAGCTAAGGGTTCACCTCCTCTCTAAATGAAGAGCAGCCTTCCAGGGTGGATTGGAAGAAATTTTCTAATCTAATTCTTATCTATTGCAAATGCCTCATTATTACTAATATAAATTATTTAAAGATAATAAATATGAATAGTTTTCAGAGGCGTAAAGCTGTGACAACACTACAACACTGAAGTATAGTCAAACTATGTAAAAAGGAGACAATAAAACCATATATTTTTGTTTAAGAACGAGAAAGTGAAAGGGATTATCCATGAATGTAAGATACAGTATGGTGCTGAGAACACATAGGCAAACATTATTTAGAGCAAAGCTGTTTACTTTTATGGTGGTTAAAAGGAAAAAGCTCCCAGCGTCCGCGGCTCCATCCTCCTTTTACATCTTAAGCAGAGACGAATGCAAAGATGAAGGCAGCATTTTGACTGAAGGGTTTTTTTCTTCAACCATTTGAAAACACTCATTCCAATTCATTTACCCAAATACATCAGTCACCACAACTATGTGCCACCTATGGATTGATGCACATGCTCAGCTATGGATGAAGTCAGTTAGTTATGCCTGTGAGAGGAGGTATCGATCGTCATCCACATGCAATCACAATGGACTGGGAAATGAGCCTAGCCCACACCACACTAACTGACATCATTCAGACCTTGTATATACATATTAGACTTCATAATTTCTCTTATTACTTGAGTATGGGCAGAAATCTGTGCCATCAGAAATTGAATTTGAATAAGTTAAATTTGAATTTGAATTGCTCAGATTAAATCTGAATTGTAACTTGAATAAATGCTTTTGAAAACTGAATTTGAATTAGTCTAATTTGAAATTGAATTTATGGTTTGAAAATGATCATCACTAAATTCAAATTGCATTTTAAATTTTGAAAATGAATTTATTTTCTTTGAAACTACATTTTATCCTTTAAAAATTCAGCTCTCAAATAATTTCAGTTTCACTTCTCACCATTCAGTTTCAGTTCCAAAATTCAGTTTTTTGGAACTTACATCCGGTTCCGGTTCAAGCGCAGATTAATAGAACTACGTTTTACTAGCGGACCGAAAGTGTTACCGACGGGAATCTACAGCGTCTTGAGCTGAATTAAGACTTCAGAAGTCATTCGTCATGTCGAATGACCAGCGGATAAACTCTCAGGTTGGTAATAAATGTATTACATGTATAAGAACAAGCGTCAATGTTAACAAATGATAGCCGTAAGGTAACTTTTATGCTTATTGTAGCTGTTAGCTAAAAACGCTAATTTAGCGTTGTTTGCCCTGGATTCAGCTTTGACAAACAAATATGATCGACTGTTTCTAGTAGAATTCCAAAGTTGTCATCTTGTACCCTCTCAGAGTACCCCCTCTGTATGCTTGCAGAGACCCCTACAGTAGGGAAACATGCAAAACGGTGTCCAAACCTTTGTATTTTAGCTTTATTTATGTCTTACACAGCATCCCAACTCTTTAGCTAACTTAATAACTTTAGCTAAAGTGAATAGTTAGTCTAATTCATTAGTGCAGCATTACTGGGTCACCTCTGTTTGAAGTGATATAATATGATATACAACTATCACTGTGTTTAACTACCATAATAATTCTTAGGGTACTGAGTGCATGCTTAATTAGGGCCCGAGCACCAAGAGTGCGAAGGCCCTATTGTATCTGCTCCGTTTCTTATTATTATTATTATTATTATTATTATTATTATTATTATTATTATTATTCAGGCGAAACAAGGGCCTTTTTGAGGGCCTAAACATGCTCAAAAACTCATGAAATTTTGCACACATGCCAGGTCTGGTGAAAAATTTTGTATTTTAATGGTTTTACATATGAGCACTGGGAAATGGCTCTACAGCGCCACCTATGCCTTGTTAGATTTGTGTTTTGTATTGTTGATTGTCATTTATGCTTAGAAATATTTAACCATATATGCTTAGAGGTGTATAATCAATTGTGTAGTGATAGGATGTGTGATCTTTAGCAGGCCGCAAAGGCTTGGTGTGCATTCTGCACACCTACAGCCTGGGAGCATGGGAAGAGGTCGTACCTTGTTTTATTGTTTTATGGTAGGATAAACGTATCTATATCTGTTTTAGGCTAAGTGCCTTTTGTTTAGATGAACTGTTGGACTTCCAGACCAGCAGGTTTAGGGAAGTCATTTATGGGGTCACACTCTGACCCACCCCCCACCACCACCACCACCACCACCACCACCACGCACACACACAGGCAAGGTACTCTTTGTTTGTATGTAGACGTCGTATGTTAATGAACCTATGCATATTCATGTAACCTCAATAAAACAGCAGTGTTACGGGGGAGCGGACGAGAGCAACTGGGGTCAAGCGAAGGAACGGCGTTTGTCCGGTTCTCTCCCGTGCACGAGAAACATGAAGAACTTTGCCTACTTCGTGTCTTGCTTGCTGTGTAATTATATTGTCTTCAACGTTCCAGCGAATAGGTTCAAGCTACAAACC